AAAAAAAAACGGGCAAAGATTTATCTTTAGAAAAATTTATTTTTCATTTTTTATAACAATCGGCGACTCTGCTACATAGTAATTCTCGGTTCCAAGGGTCTCACCAGTCTGTAGTTTGGATTCCCGTGCAGGGCTCCACTTGTTGAATCCGCTCGAAAGAGGAAATCTCATCACAAGACGACTTAGAACCCTAAGCCAGAAATATGAGGCAGGTGGTGGTTCACCGCACTGCATCTATACTGTGTTGGTCTCTTGAACCACTATCATCTTATAGGCGCCCAGTGATCTGGCAGCGTGATGCTGTGGTGAGAACCAACCGGGGAAAAGAAAAAATTATTCGAATGGCTGGTCATGCAATGCCCGCGCCCATAGATGAGACTTGTTTCCCAACGGCCTCGAACGTGTGCCACGTCAGACGGTTAGATATGACTCTTATCCTGATTCTTGACCTGTACAGCTATATGTACCTCCGTATACCTGTCTTCCAAGTGAATAGACTTTGCTGTTCCTGCAGTCGCTTCCCATGGTTCTGTTGGGTTTCCCATTTGACAGATCAACTTTTCTACTCGACAGGACGTCTTACGCTTCTTAAGGATCCGGGTAACCCTCCTAAGAATATCTTCAATTAAGCATTGAGTTCATTAGTACTATCGATCTATACTGTCGCTTTGTCTTTGCCGGAATCTTCCTGGATACAATTCCGACCGCGTGAAAGTGGATCTGGTGGTGAGTTTAGTCGAGTTTAATTTTGGCGCGGCAGTAGCAGCGGCAGGCTCAGCAGCAAGCAATTGATCCTGCACCTTTACTCCGTACGGAAGCTGTCTTTCATGTTCTAGTCCACCATGCCGTATATGTACTAATTGCTGAACGAACGCAGTTTAGTGAAGGGTGGAGTCTAGTTTAATTGGAACGCCGCCGACCCTCTTTGAACCGCCCATTCTGTCGCTTCCTTCTCCCCCTTTTGCTTTAAGGCTTTAAACTTAGCCTTGCTTCTTGCCTGTGCCCTTGCGAGTCTGCGACAACGATCGACCGTCTGCGATCATTAGCCATTATTACAATACATCCACCCCAACCCAAGTTGGAAGGCTTCCGAACCGTGCGGTCCCCGAAACCTGGTTCTGTGCCGCTCATTGTTGAGCGCCTAAGGCAAGGAAGAATAATAGCACGGTCCTGGACGTGGAAAGCACGACCTTCGACCGGGACCCTTCACTTTCTTCCATTCTAGGCTACTCTTTCTTTTCTTCATTTCTTCTTGGGCTCCTAGCTGTTCCTTGCGGGACTGAGTCACTCGTTCACTTCAATTCTTCAACTGCATCGACCTTTCTCTCGCTTTTTCTTTTTTTTTGCGTTTCTTTTCTTTCGGACTCGAACTCTTGCCCTCCTTTCCGCAGTTTGACGCGCTTGTTGTGATTTCCGACTAGTCGAAGGTTTTCAAGTTTTCTTGCGCCCCAACAGTTTGTGTTGTCTGGAATTGAGAATACAGAGTCGCCAAATAGCAGCAATATGAGAGTGTCCGCCGACTAAATCATTAGTCCGACCCGAATATCCGATTTGCTATTGATCTGGGTACCATTCGTCCGTCTACACTTCGTCTTCGACATATTCTCTAGCAACCACCAAGATCACCGAAGTTTTGAACAGCATTCTCATAGTCACAGGCTGGCATGGCAACTTGCATATCTCTCAAGGGCTCGACGCAATGTCCCGCCTGGAATGGCTCATCAATATCAACCAGCTCTAGTCTCTACACTGACTTGTACGTCTCGCTGGAATCTCGATCCTGCAAAACCAGAGGAAACTCTACTGACGCTCCAATAGCCCATTTATGCAAAACGTTACAAGCGTAAAACAGTTTGACCAAGAGTTGAGTGATTACGTCAAAGGATCTTACGTTACCCAAAAGTAGGCATTCGCTACCCATACTTCTTACCTTGTACCTCACCTAATCTGTTTTGGCTACCAGATATGTTGACTACCTGGGCTGCCAGGGGGCTAATCTTACGGATACTGATGATTTCTATGCCCGCTATACCGCTAGCAGCATCTGCAGTGGGCTCATTCAAAGTTCCAAAAAAGATTGTGATTTAACTGATAACGAGTCCAGGCCTCTCTGCGCTGATACCTGTGTTAGTACCCTCCTACCTGGCTAGTAAGGAATCCTCTAACCATCTAGGATAGGCATTGATGGCTACAAGCGAAGCAACCATCTTGCTTAACCCTGATCTTTGCCCAAAAAGAGCCGGTAATTATATGAGCCAAGTCCGTTCTGACTTTACCGTGTGTGCTCTTCCTGCCGACTCATTAACCGTGACCTGCATCTCGGGAGCTGACAATGAGTCCGACGAATGTGGGTATGGATCGAATCTGGTCGGCTTGTGCGGATTTTGTGGGGCAAGCTCACCCAACTCCACTGATTCCTGCTGCATAAATTCGAACGCTGCGACTCGATGCAAAGATGTGACCATTCCCACGCCATCAACGACAATCCCGCCAATTTTCACTTCGACATCTGATCCGACAGCGGGAGCTTCATCTGGCCATCTCTCCGGAGGCCAGATCGCTGGGGCTGTGATTGGGGCCGTAGCTGGAGTTGCTTTGTTAGCAGCACTAGCTGCTCTAGCGTTGATATGCTTGAGGCGAAAGCGAAGGGCCCGAAATGACAATGTTTTAAACCAGCCGAACCCTCAGAGGAAGGGCTTTTCACCAATGCAACCCAGCCCCAACCAACAAGGCTTCACACCGATTCCAGGGGGGCGAGTAGCTAGGATGTCTGCCCTGCGTGAGGCCCCAAGTTATTCACCCGGGCGCTCTCGTAACTCCGCCGCCCTCTTCGGTGCTGGAAAATATAGCGAATCCTCTGATTCAGACTACTACGGCGCAAGCCCGGGGCCATGTCTAAGAAAATCCCCCCAACTGCAGGGAAGCGTACTGCCTCACTGTCTAGCAATTCGGTCCTGGCTGGTGCGGGTAGTGACGGGTCACCTCTCTCTGGCAGAGGTGGTCAATACTCATCACCAGATGGGATGGGCAGTGGCCAGTCGGAGCAATTATCCTCATTCCATGATTATTACTCCCAAGATGACATTCGCCCAGGGGACAAGGTTGCCGTCCTTTGGGCGTATCAGCCACGCGCGGGCGATGAATTTGCCCTGGACCGAGGCGAGATGTTGAAGGTGGTTGGAATCTGGGATGATGGTTGGGCAACAGGCATTCGGGTCCCGGAGAGTGCAGAGGACTATGATGCTAGACATAGAGAACAGCGCGACAGCGGCGTCTCGAATGGTTCACACAGACCGATTGCTTCTCCTTCTCCAACTGGGGAAATCAAAGCATTCCCCTTGGTTTGTGTGTGCCTCCCCCAGCATTGGAGAAAAATCATCGATGGAGGACAAGCAGATGATGACCTATGATAACCAGCAGCCCCGCGTGCGTGAGCCAAAAAAGCACGGGGATTTGAACTTCTGATACCGGTTTATGCTCTTACGATAGCGCCTTGTCATTTTCCATCCATATCATTCGCCGCGGCTGTTTTGTTGGATGTCGTGCCTACATGTCGGTTAGCACCAGAGCACCGTCCACGCTACCCTCAGATCATACTTTACAAGACCTTGATCTTTTCCCATTTCTTCTGCTCGGTTGCGGGCTAATGCATCGGGATGCTTCCGCAACGACTCGATATGTTTCTTGTCCATTCGTTCATATACCCCTTTACGACAATGTTATTTACTCTTCCGTTCTTAGACTTCTGTCTCATCCTTGATGCTCGATGTTTCTCTTTTATTCGACTGCCCTCTGCTACAGCGTGAGATGCAGCGTGCCACCCCCGATCGGTTCAACTTGTGTGAACAATCAACGTCGGCGTCAGAGCCGGTCATGGTCAGCACCGAGTAGGGCAGTGGGGCGCTTGTCATGATCGCGGTCGTACAGTACATATTATGGATGTATACTTTCATATATACTGGATTCTACAGCATGGCTAGAAATCAAACTCCCCACGGGTGCTTGGAGCTGGCTATCACCTTGACACCTCTGGGCTAGCACCGGGAATATACCACGTACGCACTAACTAATTATGAGCGTATCATCGAATGCCACCTATGTAGGTATTGGTAGATTACATATTTTTGCGAACATGGTCAATTGTGTGCGCATGGAATCTTGTATAATATTCGGCATAATTGAAGCATCCAATTATAATGAAGCAGTGAGGGCGATGAAAATTGTCCGTTAGTGGACTGAAGTCCCATGGTTGATCTATATGGGACTTAGTCACCCAGTTCCAGAAAATCATAATACAGTGTTGGAGACAATATAAAAATAGTTATGCCGGTGCCTACGGAGCACTCCGTACAATCCGTTAAAATAAGTTCCCCACACTAGCAACGGCAATACGTGTCCAGGAATAGGAAGCTCCATCCAATACCTATGGATACTAGTAGGAGACGCAGGTGATGGATGAACCTGCAGCAGGCTGCAATGTTAAGTACAGTACTAGTTCGTATGCCTCACACTCCAACACTGCCGGAACATTCAGGGGAAATGACTTATGACGAAAACACGGCCTGGGTGGTGCGACGGCGATATCACGTGATAACAACCCCCACCGGCGGCGGCGCAACACCGCAAAGCACAACAACTAAATGCCCCTCTATCTCCATCCCCCATTATTATTCCGCTCTCACCCCCTCACCCGAAATTCAACTCTGTTAGCTTCTTTGTCTCCCAAAAAACCCGTGGGAATCTCTTAGGAATTATCATTTTCTTCTCTGGTTAGTAGATCAAAATGAACGGGCTTCGTGGGATGCAACAGGCATTGTTCTTCCTTGACGGGGAGTTGCCGCTAAAATCAGGGGAACCTAGTTACTGACATCGCGTGCCGGCATAGGTTATCGATTTCGGGGTTTCTTCATTTCCATATCCACATAGCAATCATGTCGGTACGTATCCCACCAACTTCTTTATGGACTGGGCTCATACTAATGTGGTATTCTCTTGGGTCCCGTAGCTCGCAGCTGGGTATGTCGGAAATCGTATCCTACACCTGTCTTCAAGATCAGATTGATGGGAAAGTTCCGAATCGACATTAACAACGCCTAATACTTAGAATTACCATTACCGATGACTGCATCGCCAAGTTCAACGACTTCCGCATGACCGGCGGCAGCAAGGGCGACAAGCCTAAGTTCATCATCTTCAAGATCGCCGATAACAAGAAGGAGGTTGTGGTTGATGAAGTTTCCTCCGAACAAGACTATGAAGTCTTCCGCAACAAGCTTGCAGCTGCCAAGGACAGCAATGGCAATCCTGCCCCCCGTTACGCAGTCTACGATGTCGAGTACGAGCTCGGTAGCGAAGGCAAGAGGTATGGTGCTACTGAAGTCGTCTTCTGAGTTGATTGACAGCTTACTAACTTTTCCGCTGTATAGGAGCAAGATAATCTTCATTTCCTGGGTTCCTAGTGAAACCCCGACTCTCGTAAGCTTATTTGCGCTCTATCTTCCTTTCCCATGCTAGCTGTTGCTGACGATTCATGCAATAGTGGTCTATGATCTACGCCAGCACTAGGGAAGCTCTGAAGAACGCCCTCAACATCCACACCTCCATCCACGCCGACGACAAAGGCGACATTGAGTGGAAGACTGTTCTGGCTGAAGCCAGCGGCGGAAAGGCTGGTAAATAAATGACGGCGTCGGCTGGGCCCGGGCCAGGTGAGCTTGTGTGTGTGCTGGTTATTACACTGCACCGCTCCGTTTCCAGTCCGCGGAGTGTCTCGGAACCAAACAATTCAATGACATTCTCCTGCACAAATTCTAGTCCAATATGAGATCGTTACGACTTGTGTGTTTCTATAGTGATCGTATCCTCGTTTTTTGCGATCGTGGCACTCTCCGTGGCCGAGCGTTGGGAAGGGTTTTCTTTGTTGTCAGCGTTTATACCTGTACAGAATATTGCTACCTGGTAGGGGATGTGGTTTCACAGGATCAGTGTAGAGTAGAATACACGACTTCACCACCCTTTAAACATATCTCATAATGCCGGTCATTGCGTAAGACTGACAGTCGTGCCATGATCCCGAAATCGCCCGTCAGGTGAGCAGTATTGATTGCTTCGCTGTAGAAGTACCGTCAGGAAAACAAAAATATGTGTCGGCATGAAAAATCGGCATATTGACCGTTAGGGCTTGCCAAGCTTCATTGAGCGATCAAAAAGCCGACCATAAGGTGAAGATACCCTTGAAACGGTTTTCGATGTTGGATAGGGATGGAAGTATCAGGTGTTTTGGGTGAAGGAAGCAGAGGTCGGGACAGATTGGGACGTGGACCAATAAGGGCGCACGCAAAACGGACTAACCTAACCGGCCGGATACTCGACTTTCCACCTCAAACCACAGTCGAACGACGTCTTCGTTTCCCATCGCGAAGTCTCGACCACCTCCTCCGCTCCCATCCCACCTTAATTCATCCTCAATCCCGAGGCATTGCATCTCTCGTTCACGGAGAGTGCGTTTGATTTTTAATTGGTCTTTTTTAGTCGCGCGTACGACCTCCCACACAATGTTCCTTCAGTCCGTTTCTCGGGCTGCTGCTCGCAGCTCGGCCATGCCCACCACTGCCATTCGTTCCTACCGCACCGTCTCGGGCCCAATGGCTTGCCTGAATGCCCGCCCTCAGCCTGCGAAGAAGTCTATCGCTCCCCAGCAGACCCGCGCCGCATCCGAGCACGCCATCTCGAATCCCACACTCGCCGGTATCGAGAAGCGCTGGGAGGCCATGCCCCCTCAGGAGCAGGCCGATCTGTGGATGCAGCTGAGGGACCGTATGAAGGTTGACTGGCACCAGATGACCCTTCAGGAGAAGAAGGCTGGTATGTTTTTCCTCTTTACACAATCCCCGCTACTCCCGTTCGATCAGAATTTTGCTGATGGGCTTTCCCCCCCGCATTTTAGCTTACTGGATTGCCTTTGGTCCTCATGGTCCTCGCGCGCAGGCCCCTAAGGGAGAGGGTCTCAGAATTGCCGTCAAGGTCGCCCAGCTCACTGCTGTCTCCGTTGCCCTGTTCTACGTCATTCACTTGTTCGCTAAGCCCCAGCCTAAGACCATGTCCAAGGAATGGCAGGAGGCTTCCAACGAGTATGCCAAGGTACGTTTGATCCTGCTCTCTCACTTGGGCCTGCCATTGGGCAGTGTCTCTTGAAATTCAATAAATCAGATACTGATTACTTGTCACAACAGGCCGAGAAGATCAACCCTATCTACGGTATCAGCGCCGAGGGTTACGAGGGTAAGGGCTTCGTCCAGAGCCCTCCTCTTGAGAAGTCATAGATTGTGGGCCAGTGATGCGGGAGGAACAGGTATAGCAATTGGACAAGCTGGATAGGATGTGCTGTGGGTTCACTCGGTACCCATCGCCGTCCTCCCTCCGTTTTCTGATCCCGCCGGTTCTGTGCCTATCATCATGTGCACTTCCCTTCGCCTCTGTCTTATTTGTTTTGCCCAATGTCAGCCCAAAAGACTTGTATCTCGTACTGTGCCATAATCAATGTATCTCCTTTGTAGCCATAGAGTCTGTTGTACCGCTGCGACTGGTAGCTAACATCTAGGGCCTATGATTTGTAGATTAATACCTAGCGATGATCATTTCCCTAAATTTTACTATGGTCTCTTTTTCTTTTTGTTATTCTGTTTTTGAAAGAGGGTTTGGTATCAACCCTGTTAGGTCGGAAATGTACGACGTCGGAAAAGGGCTGCTACATAGTAATGTTTCCGAACTTTACATTCATGCGCTATTACACTCCTTTGGCTATAGCCATTCTTGTGCTTAATTGCTTGGCATAGAACCTGGCATTGTTGATCTCTAGGAAAACTAATATACTTGGTACTGTGAAGGTCTATATGCCAAAATTGACTATGTTAATACCTTGGTGATCCTGATGGAGAATCACGGGAACACGTCAGATTTTTTTCCCAAGTTGGCGTTCGTCCGAAATAGGAGCTTGGATCTTTTACGGTGTACCCGGACGGGGGTAATAGGAAAACCAAAATATTACCTGGAAAGTTGGGTCTACGCCGTTACGATATGTTTATTTCTTCACCGTATTAATTTGAGCCGCATACACTCGATTTAGACTGGAATGCTTTCGACTAGTCACGATTCTACTGGATAGTGTGCTGGACAAATGGCATTTTTGATGGGGTTCAATGCTCCCTTGTATCCGATGGTTGCCAAGAAGCTCCTCATTTTGTGTGTAAATTTCCATGACAACCGCCGGGAGACTTCTCCATACAGCGTTGGACGGGGAGGATACGAGTAAAAAAAGTTCTCTATCAGATGAAAACGTAGCCGTTATGTATTCGGTTGAAAAGGTGTAAAATGGCAGAACACTGCCTAGCAACCATGAAGCTGATGCAGCTCTGTCCATGTTTTCTGCGCGTTGCTCGGTACATCACGGGATCGTCGGCAAAACCGCCCCGGAAAGGCTAAGACCGGACACAGTCGCCCGTGTCCACCTCAACCTCAACCTCTTCCCTTCCCTTCCCTCTTTCTTCCCTCTCCCCATCTTCTCGTCCCTTTGACCTCATTTATCCCCGTTTCGCTCTTAAACACCATCATAATGTTCAAGAGGTGTGTTGCTCCGCCCACTCTGACCTCGTCGCCCTATGACCATTTTTTCCCCGCTTGCTAACAGCTGTTTTTCCCTTTTACAGCGGTCTTGCCCGGACCTTCGGGAGGGCTGCTTTTGCCCGGCCTACCCCGGTCGCCCGTCGCGTTCCTTCCAAGATCAATGGCTTCCCTTCCCTTGCCAGGTTGGCCAGCACTGAGGCCGCCTCTACCGGCAAGATTCACCAGGTCATTGGTGCCGTCGTCGACGGTATGTTTCCGGCTCCCGACGAAAACCCTGCTACCCGGCTACGCGAAAATCTTTTCCTGGCCTCAATTCCATCATAAAATCATCAACAACGACTCGATGTGTGGCTCAAAACACGATATCTGACTTTCGATCACAGTGAAGTTCGAGGGTGAGAAGCTCCCTGCCATTCTCAACGCCATTGAGACCGAGAACAATGGCCAGAAGCTCGTCCTTGAGGTTTCTGTAGGTAACCCCAGAGCTTGGATGACATCAAGTCGATATAGCTAACCAAAAACAGCAACACTTGGGTGAGAACATCGTCCGTACTATTGCTATGGAGGGTAAGTTACCCCTTTCTATTGTTTATGTATCACCGTGGGCATATCAGAGGTGCTCACCATGGCCTCACCGCTCCCATACACGTGGCTACGGTAGCCGGAATTCTGGGTTGACATGTTACTCTTTCAGGTACCGAGGGTTTGACTCGTGGTGCCGCTGCTCGCGACACTGGTGCTCCCATCACCATTCCTGTCGGCCCTGGCACCCTGGGCCGTATCCTTAACGTCACTGGTGACCCCGTCGACGAGCGTGGTCCCGTTAAGGCCACCAAGTACGCCCCTATCCACGCCGAGGCCCCTGAGTTCGTTGAGCAGTCCACCGAGGGTGAGATTCTTGTCACTGGTATCAAGGTCGTCGATCTGCTTGCCCCCTATGCCCGTGGTGGTAAGATTGGTCTCTTCGGTGGTGCCGGTGTCGGTAAGACCGTCTTCATTCAGGAGTTGATTGTATGTTCACCTGCAGCCAAAGACTTACCTTTCTCCACTCTTTTCTAACTCTTCTCAGAACAACATTGCCAAGGCTCACGGTGGTTACTCCGTCTTCACTGGTGTCGGTGAGCGTACCCGTGAGGGTAACGATCTGTACCACGAAATGCAGGAGACTGGTGTCATTCAGCTCGAGGGTGAATCCAAGGTCGCCCTTGTGTTCGGTCAGATGAACGAGCCCCCAGGTGCCCGTGCCCGTGTCGCCCTTACCGGTCTGACCATCGCCGAGTACTTCCGTGACGAGGAGGGTCAGGATGTGCTGCTCTTCATTGACAACATTTTCCGTTTCACCCAGGCCGGTTCTGAGGTGTCTGCCCTTCTTGGTCGTATCCCCTCTGCTGTCGGTTACCAGCCCACTCTGGCCGTCGACATGGGTGGTATGCAGGAGCGTATTACCACCACCACCAAGGGTTCCATTACCTCCGTCCAGGCCGTCTACGTCCCTGCTGACGATTTGACTGACCCTGCCCCCGCCACCACCTTCGCTCACTTGGACGCCACCACTGTCTTGTCCCGTGGTATCTCCGAGTTGGGTATCTACCCTGCTGTCGATCCTCTTGACTCCAAGTCTCGTATGCTCGACCCCCGTATTGTCGGTCAGGACCACTACGACACTGCCACCCGTGTCCAGCAGATGCTCCAGGAGTACAAGTCCCTCCAGGATATCATTGCCATTCTTGGTATGGACGAACTGTCTGAGGCTGACAAGCTCACTGTCGAGCGTGCCCGTAAGCTTCAGCGTTTCCTGAGCCAGCCTTTCACCGTCGCCCAGGTCTTCACTGGTATCGAGGGTAAGCTGGTCGACCTCAAGGACACCATCCGCTCCTTCAAGGCCATCATCAACGGAGAGGCTGATGACCTTCCTGAGGGTAAGTTTCCTCTGACTAATGCTTGTATTTGACCTGTAAGCTAACGGTGTCTCACAGCTGCTTTCTACATGGTTGGTGACCTCGAGTCCGCCCGTGCCAAGGGTGAGAAGCTCCTGGCCGAGCTCGAGAACAAGGCCTAAATGTAATATTGTTTTTAAAGCGCCCTTTTCTTTTTTGTTAGACATGGACTTCCTTTCTTCAGTTTTCCGTTTTCTGTCGATACGTGTACAGTACTCGAATTAAGAAAAGGGAGTTGAACGAAAGGCTTATCCTCCCTGTTCAGAAGAAAAAGGAAGGGAGCACTATTACACCTACCTTAAAGTCCGGATGAATAGTCCGGGCTTGTGTTACACTACGTGCTCATGTAAGTAAGTTAAAACGACCACATTCAGCCTGATACCCTCGGGGC